ATATGAATAGCACCGAATGGCACCAACCAAATGCACCACATGCCCTCAACCGCGCCAAAATGCACATTAACGCAATACTGTGCGTTGCGGTATGGTTGAAAAAAGTAGTGCTTGCACTATTTTTTTTCCAAAAGCACCGCACCACAACGCAGGGAATTGCATTACTGCTGATTGCAGTGCGGTTGAGAGCATTGCGGGCAGGATGTACATATGGGGTGCCATTCAAGTAAATGGCATCCAAGTGATGAAATCTGCGTCAATCACGACATCCAGCGATTAAATCTATGTGAACCACGGAGTCTAGGGATGCACTGAAATTTTCCGCCGCCAAAACATATTGGCCGCAAATGGCACTTTTGGCAAAATGCTGAAAGTACCATCTTTTGGCTGAAATTGCGGTGCATTCCTAGTTTCTCTTCTCTCCTCTGGGCACTGCTCTGTGTTCCCTTTGACACAGTGCAGCGCTCAGCTGGTAGGAGATAAATATTCAGGCCACCGAGCAGGGTGGGGAGGAGAACGCTATGAACCGCAATGTCACAAGAAGCTGAGCTCTCCTCCCGCACCCCCCGCTCAGCCTCCTGTGACAGATCAGGAAGGAGAGCGGTTTGTGGGGGCGGTGACAGCTGTCAGAGGAGGCCAAGCCGGTGGGGTGGGGGAGGAATCAACTGTCAAAATAGCCTGAGCTCTCCTCCTCGCACTGCTGGCACAGCCTCCTGTGACCGTGAGTCAGGATGGAGAGTGGGTACAAGCAGTTAGCGATCAGCTGATCGCTGACTGCCCGTAAATAATTGAGGACAGAGTATGTTTACTTTGTCTACAATTATGAATTTACAGGACTTCCTGTTTATTCATGATTGTGGATATAGTAAACATACTATCGCCACAAGTTATGAACAGGATTCCTGTTAATTCATAACAGGGGCTGCAGAAAAAGGAGATTGAGGACCCTGTGTCCTCAATCTTTCAATTTTAAAAAGGGAAATATCAGGAATCTGTTTAGACCCGATATTTCCCAGAGCCTCTGACAGTAAAGTTAAAAATAGATCAGAGTGTACTGATCCCACTAAGCCACCAGATATTTACTTTTTCCACAGGAGGATTCCTGTACATGGTGATAAACCTGTCCAGATTGTTGTAGAATCTGGAGGCCAGGAGGTCTACATTCAGCTCCCCACATCTGTGATACAGGTCAGGTAACAGCTTCAGGTGTAAGCACCACTCCCCACCCCATTCCCCAATCCAGACATTGCCGGTTGAGAAAGTCTGCCTGCTAACTGTCCATGCCTGGGCTGTCAATAGCGTACAATACGGGAATGTTAGGTTCTGCCTAGGGCAGGATCTGCTGCGACATTTTCCAACTACATCCAGATCGGATGACGCACCAACAGATGACACTCCAATGTTGCAGAGACAGCCAGATCGCCTAAAGCTCCAGGGTGTTGATCAGGAGATGAGTTCTTAGACAATCACATGTGCTGCCAGGGTGCCTATACGACTCCAACCCAGCCCTTCAAGCTTGGATCCATTGTGAGGATCTTCCAAAAGATAGAAAGGGTGGGTCAGTTCTAGTACGGATTCCTGGAGGTTCAGAAACTATCTGAACCATTGCAATGTCTGTTCAGTCAAGGCCGCATTATCTGAAAAAGTCCAAGCCAACTGTTCCCTCAACAGTAGGTCAACTAAATTACCCACAATGGGGAATGCCATGCGAGCGAAGGCGAGACAGGAAATTTCCAACAGACTGCCTCAACTGTAGCTTAAAGCTACAGCCATTTGCTTCAAACGTTCAGTAATCAAGGGATCAATCACAACAGTGGTAAGATCATTTAAAGGAACTTTGCCCAATCAGCTTAGGTTAGACAAAGTAAGGTCACAGCCAAGTAATACAACTGTGCTTTTAAGCACGGGGGGAAATTCTTTGTGTTTGACATACTTTGGCGCACTCTAGCGCAGTATGGATATGTGCGTTGAACCAAGCGAATTTCCATAACATAGTCCAGAGCATTACAATGAGGTAATACAAAATAAACCTCTCCACTGAATCACCAACAGTTGAAAATGATGTGTCTGCTCCGTATCTCTCCCAAATCTCGTATTCGCTCAAAATAGAAAACCAAGTTCTCACATAGTGTAAAACTGCTAGATGGTAGTTTATTCACAAAAATCAGAACACTTACATTTAAAAGGGTTATTAAGCGCTGTAAAAACATAAAGTCGGCTTGTATGAGCTCAGCTCCGTCGCCTTACCTGGAAACCACTCCAGACCTAATACACTAGTATGCATTTCTTCTAATGGACTTTCTCAAGGTAGACCCTTGAGAAAGTCCATTGGACAAAACGCGTAGAGGAGTTACACGCTGACACTAGTGTATCAGGTCTGGAGTGGTATCTGGGTGAGGAGACGGAGCTGAGCTCATACAAGCTGATTTTATGTTTTTACAGCATTGAATAACCCTTTTAAATGTAAGTGTTCTGATTTTTATGAATAAACTATCAACTAGCAGTTTTACACTTCTTGGTGTGATCTTGGTTTTCTATTTTGAGCGGATAAGAGATTTGCGAGAGACATTGAGCAGACTCATAATTTTCAACTGTTGGTGATTCAGTGGAGAGGTGATTCAGTGGAGAGGGAGACATCAGACACCAGGGAGGTGTGTGTGTGTGCAGAGCGTTTATAGACCACTAGGTGGTCAAAATTATCTGGGGAGTGTGCTAGTGCACCTGGAGGTGGATCACTGGTGATTAATTGGTCAATTAAAGCACAGAAGTCATGAGAGATTGTGGAACTTTATATGCAATGATTATTTCACTCACTGATGTAATATAAAGAAAGTGAATACAAGGATTTCATCACGTTTATTTTGCATCACATCATTCTTGGGTTTATTATTATATGGACTATATATAAGCTGGTGTGAACATTTTGTATATATTGTCATAAAGTATATGCACTTAGAGTTTTATAGAAATGATTGGGGATAGCGCAGTGTCTTTTGTTTAATATATTGTGGGAGAAGTTTATATAGCTTCTCTTTATCTCTGCAGTTGTCAATAGGGTGTTATTGAGGAGTCAAGGGAGAGCACTATAGCGCAGATAATGATCTGTTTTAGCATCACAAAATAACATGGTTATTTGGGCCATACATGACTGTTGTAAAAGCCTAAGGAGAGAGGACAGAGGAAGCAGCCAAACCCTGGCGAAGTCAGAGAAGTCTCCAATAACAAGACTGACTCTGGAAGAAGGCAACATGATTATAGGTCCAAAGATGTAAGCAGCATCAGTGAGTGTGTTAGTAAAACTAAACCTAAACTGTTAGAGTGAGAGCTGGGGGCAACTGCTACAGTGCGACTGTCTCTTCTATGTCTAGAATCAGACATGTTGTGACCACTTAACGGTAAGGCAACTTAGAGTTTAGGGTAGGAGGCAAGGCCTCAAGTACTCATGAAACCAAGACAAACAGTAATCACTGAGGGTCAGATGGCCAGAGGTGACAAAAATCACTGTAGGTGGACATGGACAGTGCCTGCAAAAGCAGGAGCAGCAGCAGGGAGACGCTTCCCATATGGTAGGAAAGATTGCAGAGCATACAACAGTCTGCTTTGCTGATTACATTAGCACTCAGTCCCACAGTCTTATCCCCCTCCTGTGTGAATTTAAAGCTGCCCATTGACCTAAACAACCAAGGAAGCTCCTGGTTTTAGGCCTGATCAGCCCACTCACTTATTGAGTCTTTAGAGACAGGGCAAGCACTGAGGCAATGCCCGTGGCTCTGGAATGCACCCCAGGGCTAACTTAACACACAGGGTCTAAGAAGTGCCATATGAGAAATCCAGTGCCCAAATGTCACTTCCAGAAAAGTTTTCATTGAAAAAAAAATAAGTTGAGGGGAAAAAAAAATATAATAATGAAAAAATAGGCTAGTCTTTTATGCAGCAGAGCTGGAGAAAAGACGTCCACTCCCCTAGGTCACTAGCAAAAACCTGAGGCACGCTACTAGTAGAAGTCATCCTTGGCCGGCCTATATTTTGTTTGCTAGTGTCCAATGCTTCTGTAGGTGGCAGTATAACCTGAAGGTAAAGGGAAGCTATGATTAAGGCCCCTTGGTGGCTTGAAAACATGGTAGCAATTTTTGTAGCCGCTTTTATGCCTTTTTTAATAAAGATACGCCATTAATAGGATTCCTATGAGTGCCATCACTTTGCCCTTTATTTTGTTGATTGGGTCAAGCAGAGACTTATGCTGAGCACAGCAGTTCAAATGGAATATGGAGTCTGAGAAGGTAGAGAAGCTTTATTTCTGCATTGTATAACCTAAATTGACTTCCTGTGTTAATCAATGGATGTGAAATAAATGGTGTATTTAGGCCTAGAAACCCTTCAAACAGGAAAAGTATGACAACTACTAAGTGCCAGCAACAATTTAATACTGCTACTGAAGGTAGAAGTATATTCTGCCCCTGTCCAAACCACCCAAGTTTCCAAAGGGGCAACATACTGAACACGACTGTGTAATACTGAAACTTTCTGTGGCAGATTGAACCATATGTTAAGTGATTAACAATGTGGTGAGCAGCCCACACTTTGCCCACCCTCCCCACATCCCCATTCCTGCAGCATATACACTCATTTTCCATGCCCATATCACTTACCAGTTTTCAGCATTCACACCAATCTAGAAACATTACTGCAAAATGTTGTGTAACCTGCAGTAGGAGCTGTACTCCAGTACTTTCCTACAAACCAGGGTAGATGAAGTACCTCCAGCTGTGCGCATTACAAGTCAGTTTACTGCACTGCTGAAATATAGTTCTAATGATGCACTCTACCATCTTACAGACCCTGCTTTAGATTGACCCCTGCATGGTGTGCACATCTTTCCAGTTAACTAGGTACATTCTTTTTATAACTGTAATTGGAGGCTTAGCACAAATTATTAACTTGTAAACATTGTCATATCCCTAACTTTGTCACGAAATAAATATGTTTAAATACAGACTCACCTGCACGGTAGCAGCTGCAACTGGAGAACCTGAGGCAGATGACTGTCTGTGGGATATTGGCTGTTTTGTAGCACCTACAGCTCCACTTGCTGTTGCTCCAGAAAGATGAGTCCTATTTGTAACACTGGCATTTTGACTGGCTCTACTGATTGGAACATTCATTGCAGAGCTAGAAATTGTGGTCTTAATATGTCCAGGTTGGGTAGGGTTAATTGGCTTAGGGGATGAATTAGCTGGTTTTGGAGAAAGACTTTGCAAATTTGGACTAGACTTTTTTGGAGAAGGGATTGGAGAATGAACAGGAGATGAGGCAGGCATATTTGGGGAAGGACTTGTTTGTCTAACTGTAGTGGTAAGTAATTTAGGCGTGGAACTGGGGATCTTCGGAGATGCAGAAGGATTTTTCAGTCCTGAAATACCTGCCGAGGTCCTTCCAGATGGTATAGGGCTGACTGTGGGGGAAGGATGTGCAATGTTAATACCGCTTGACACCTTATGATGTGCACTATTCTGAGAGATAGGATTACCTGAACTGGAAGAACTAGGAGAAGTGGTGATTTTGGGTGAAGGAGCCATGCTATAAGGAGACTTGAATGCGGGATTGGAACCTTGTAAACCAATATTTTTTGCTATAATGCTAGCAGAGGAAGAAGAGGCAGCACTTCGGGATACCGCTGCATGTAGACTGCTACCTGAAGGTGATGATGGAGGTCGGTAACCAACTGTTTTTTCAGGGGTTTTGATAACTGGTGATGTGGAAGAGATCTGGGGGCTACTGGTCAAGCGCACAACGGGGTTAGTATGGGATTTACTAATAGTAGCTTGCAAAGGTGTAACGTAGTTTTGTTGTAGAGGTGGCTGGACCTTGACAGTTTGCAAGGAAGAAGAGTTCTGTACTAGGGAAGAGGAGGAAGAAACATGAACATGTGATGAAGATATTAAAGGTGTTGAAGTTGAGGAAGAGGGAGTGGAGAAGGAAGAGCCGGTTGCTTTGGCTTGAGAAACAGAGGAAGCCTTTGTCTTAGCAGGTGCAGAAGAAGAGGATACCTCAGACTTCAAAGACCTTTGCACTCCTTGTTGAAGCAGCTTGGCAGGTAATGGTTCCAATGACACTTTGGGATTTTGAATTGAAGAGCCTGCAATAAGCCCAGACATTACTGTGGAATGGGCTGGTGCAAGATCCTGGTGTTTCTTTGGTATTGGGGCTGACTGGCCTGCAATTAGGCTGGAGGTGTGCTGAAGAGGATCCGCCTTTTTAGTACCACTCAATGGCAACTTGCTCATAATAGAAGCTAGTTTTTCTTCCCTCAAGGCAACCCGTGGCCGGGAGATGGGCGCTTCTGTGTGAGAATTAGATGGTGTGGTGGTTCCATTGTTAAGTACAGCCAATGCTTCTGAGATTGAGTCTAATGAAGGCGTTTTAAAGGAAAGACCTTCATCCAGTGAGTCATCCAGGCAGATCGTCTCAGAGGATGCGCAATTAGAGGTGATTTGACCACCAGCATGCACAACTGCATTTACAGAAGGTGTACGGGCAACAGCAGGCAAAGGTGGCAAAGTCTTCGGCTCCTTCTTAGGACTGGATTCCTTGATACAAATAGACAGGGAAAATGAAATGGCTTTAAATAAGCAAATCAATATTAAATAAATAATAAGGAACGAATTTTAAGAACTGACAGTAATCACAACAAAATAAATGACAGAAAGATGATTTGCAAGCAAATGCAGATTACCTTAACTTTGGGTTTTGGGGCTACAATGACCTTTTTCTTGGCGCTGCAAATTAATTACAAACAGCAATGAAAAAAAAGATCACCATGTATTATACTCGATTCACAAAGGTTTCACACAAAGATATTGATTTTTTTTTTATTTGACTAATTTTTAAATTTCATTACACTTAAAAAAAAAAAAAAGAGAATTCTTAACGAGGTGTGTTATCTTTGTGAATTGAGCCTTATTTGTCAATATGTACTTGTAAAAATGCTAAGTAATATAAATAAGAGAACATAAAAGGATAAAATAGAAAGGATAAGGGAGCTTCCACAGCAGACTTGTTTTTAAAAAGTGCAAACTCTAAGGGCTTGTTCATACGACGTTCGGATTGTGCCCGGACCAGAACCGTGCGTTCCTGCACCCAAAATGCATCCCAATGTGTTTTATGGTAGAGCTGCAACAGTTATTCGATTAAGTCGATTAAAATCGACGATGGAAAACGTTGTCAACGTTTTCCATCGTCGATTCGTCGGCTAAAATTCAAATTTCCCGCTCGCCGCAGGCCTACAGTTCTCACGTGCGCAGTCCGTTCCGGAAAAATAAAATAATGCAGGTCACATGTTGTACGGTCCAGATACGCACAAACGCATCAAAACCACGTCGAAAACGCACCGCACTGCAGCTAACATATTGACAGCCCCACTGGACCAGAAAATGGTGTGAACAAGCCCTAAGGCAGTAATCCTCTTTCTTATTTTCCATCCTAACTAGTTAGTGGTCTGGAACAAGTATGCAGCTAATGAAGTGCAGCACACCTGATATACACATACTTGTTCCTGCCAAGAGAGACTAACATATACCAAACATTATACACTGAGTGGCCAGATGATTTTGACCTCCCCATCAGTACTTCGTTGGGCCACCTTTTGCCTTCAATACTGCAGCGATTCTTCTTGGCATTGACTCCACGAGATGTTGAAAGGTGATGCGAGGAATCTGACACCATGCCTGATGAATAGCACTGTCCAGTTCTGTGAGATTTGATGGTTGTGGAACCAGCTGCCTGATGGCTCTTTCAACTTTGTCCCACAAATGCTAAATTGTATTGAGATCTGGTGATTGTGGGGGCCACCTAAGCAAGGTAAAGTCTCCCTCATGTTCTTGAAACCACTCCTGCACAATACGAGCACCGTGGCATGACGCATTGTCTTGTTGGAAGAAGCTATCTCCATTGGGATACGCCATCAACATGATAGGATGAACTTGAGCAGCAACGATACTTTGGTATGTTGTGCTATTCAGA